TCAGTAGGCATGAAATTGCTGAGGCAATGGTTTGGCCATAAGGTACGTCTTTTATTGCTGTGGTCTTTTAATAGATAGAGTAACAAATACTTAATTACAAAAAAACCTGAAGAAGAAAACTTGTAAACTCAGGTGTTTCAAAACAGTTGCCTTAAACCTTTAGGCATGGTTGTGAATGGTTTCTGTCCATTGATAAAGGAGTGTCAATATGTTACCAGTGATTTGAAGGAAACTTTGAAAGTATTATGTGACTACACAGGTCCCTTATTTATTATGACCAAAATACTGGGTTTGAAAACAAATACAGTAAATAGTAGGTAGTAAAGCTTGAAAAATGGGATGATGCCTGACTGATGTTACAGAAGGAATGTCATCTAGCAAAAAAAGTTGGGCTATTCATGGCATGGCTTCCTTAAGTGTAAGTTCACTGTGTATGTCTTAGTGGAGGAGTGTATTTTTGCGATGTTATTGAAAATTTAGTAAAATGTGCCTTAATTCATAAGTAAACAAATGCGGTGAAATCTTTTAAAGCAACTGTAGATTTCACATGAAAAAGGGTACAGATTGCTATTAATAATTTTGGCCATTACTGTGGCATCTCTTTGATGTATGAATAACTTCTAGAACAAGGGTTGTTGTAGCATATACTTAATTATAATACATCATCAGTTCTGTTTACTGCTAATTATTTTACAAGGTCAAGAGAAGAGTTTAAAGTGAATGTGGCATGGTTACTTCCGAAGTTTTTGGTACAACCAAATGTAAGTGAACCTAGTAGGGAAACTTGCCCTTAAATTGCTTTTGGCAGATCTCATTAGTGTCTAAGGCAGAAGGCTAACCCAACTGAAAAGGGCCTTTCAAGGTTGACTAATGTGTAACTAAATTACATTTTTGAGAGGTGGGGAAAGCTGATGCCAGTAATTAAATTTACTGAAGTTTCTTACAATAACTATGAAAATTATTTTGATAGTCTTATTTATGAGGTTTCCACTGCTCTCAGGTTAATACTTCTGAATATTTGATTGTAACAGTAATGAACAACTTTGTGGTGGTTTATTTTTCATGTTTTGGTACCTCAGTCAAGGCATTAGCATTAAAAAATATTCAAAGTTTTAATTTATCTTCAAATGCCTAAATGGATTTGAAATTAGGCTAATACACCAATAACTAAAAAAAACCCCAAAATGCACCTCAAACCAAAACAATCCCAAAACCCTGTTTTTTCAGTTTAGCATGGGGGGAAAAAAAAAAGTGCGAAATATTTAATTCCTGTCTTACGTGAGGATGAGTTGAATGCTCGAAACAGAGAATTTCTGTGAACTTGAACGTTCAATTTCTGGTTCTGAAAATGTGAAGATCTCGTGATTGAATACTATTACAACTACATACGTAGCGCAATGCAAAGCAAAATGAATTACCAGATCCTGCATTCCTCTTATGTGTGCTGTACTACTTTTCCATAGAGGAATATAAAACAGGATATATGGGCAGTTGTGAAAGTCAGACTGATGCTTGTTGCACTGGTTCCATTGCTGTTAGTTTTGCTGTAACTGGTTATTTTGAAATGAGAATGATGGGGAAACTGGAATGATGAGACAGAGACCACTAGATGGCTCCACTGATTTTTGCGGTACTGTGGGTAATTTCTGCATCACTTGTGAGAATCTGCCCAGGGTTATCAGGGGAACAGCATGGTGGTGGAGTTGGCTTTTAGACTAAAATGAGGTTAAAGCCATACATGTTCAGAAGAATAAATTGATGTTGGAGTGCAGATACGCAAAATCATGAAGACATTTTAAAACCTCTTCTTGCATGTCAGTCTCTTCTGCAGTTAGCATTGGTTTTAAAATGATGTTCTTAACACTTTTTGATTTCTTGTACTTGATTTTTGAGTGTTAGGAGGAGTAGTATTTTTTTATTTTAAGTACATGAGCTTATTTTTCTTGGAAGGAAATGTAAAGATGGGGACATTTGGTTTGTATTTATCCATGTGGAAGTCATTTGGTGTGTCACTCACCTGTGGGCTTGGTTGCTGTTATATGAAGAGTAAAGTTGGAATATGGATCAGGAGTAGTATGGTGGCCTTGCTAAAGGCAACTAGTGTGACTTGTTGCCGTTTTCATCTGACTTCTGACATGTCCTTTCCCACCAATAACTAAACCAGTCATTCCGTTTGTTTAAATGTGTGCTTGCTGTTGGACTGTATATGTCTCATGAGCTGGAAAACTGGTTTAAGATGGTGGAGTGTTTTGTCTCCAGTCACCATGCATATATAGGAAACCAGTTTTCATGCCTGTTACATTGGCTTTGAAGGATCTATGCCTTTGAAGAAAGGAGTGTGAACAGGAAGGGAGTAGCTAAAAAAATTCGCTTAATTATAACAAACTTGGTTTTCTACTAAGTAGTGTCAACTTTAGAAGATGGGTCAGTCCCATAAAAATGATTGCCAGAGCAAATATCTTAGATTTCCCACTGTTGATTTGTCTAGTGTTCTAACACTATGGAGAAATTTCAAATGGACTTTATGGACCCTGAAAGGGTTCTTGAACTACTAATCGTTCCTCCCCTGCTTCTTTATGGTTTTGGTTAAAGTTTGTATTTTTGACTCTTAAACTGATGATTTGCCATTATTCATGATAAAAGTAGATGTTCTGGAATGTGTAATATGGAATGAAGCACCAGTTACATTTTTAAACTATCTTCAAGGTACAGTAGTTGCATGTCTTAGTTTAAAGATGTGATCTGTATTCCAACAGCATTTTTCTTTTAATTTTCCATAAAGAATCCAATCAGATGAAGAGTGTCAAAAGGAAGTCTACGAATGAGACACCAAGATGGCAGTTCCACTGTTGATTGAGAGGTTGAGGAAATGGACTAATGCATGAGTGCTGTGATGTGTCTGTCCAAGAAAAGGATGTTAAAACGTGGACTCTCGTGTTATTAAACCAGAGAAGATCTGGGTTGTGATCATCCTGTCAAAATGGACTTTGCAATTGAATTAATCAGGGGACTGTATCAATGATTATCCAATGATGGATCTGTTTGAGGACTGGGTGGCAAAATTTTACTCTCATCTTACATATGCGTAACAGGCAAAGTCATTTGGTAAGAGATCGATTGCTACCCCTTTGGATAAAATGTAATGTTTTTTAAAGTGATTTAATAAAAGGTTTTGGTTTCTTTCATGCTTTGTGTTTGTCCTTTCTGGCTGAGTATTTTTTTTTTTATTATGTTGATACTGAAGTGGGTTACGTTTTTGGTTGCTATTAAAGTGTGAAAAACTTCAGCTGCTAAGCACTAAAGGCAAGGTAAAATTTTGTGCTATACTTGATTTAAAATGTGGTTTTCATTTGCAAATTATCTTCACTTTGCCATGACTTCCAATGAATTTTTATTTGCTGGTTTGTTCATTCAGGTGCTTAACGTTAGGGGTTTTTCAGTACTTGGCCAATTGTCAGGGTACTTCTGCTGAGCTTTCTGAGTTACTTTAAGATGGAATTGATATCAATTGAAAGCTGGGCAAATATGACAATAAAGGAGTACTTGAATGTTTTGTATAACTTTCTAGATACGCTGCTTCAGTTGCGTATGAGTACAGAAAGTTTTCAACAGATTTCCTGGACAACATAATTTCTAAACAGTCTATTCTGTCTTAAAATTGTTCTGTGCAAATGTCCAATCTGCTTCACCGCTATTTAATGTAGGCTTAACTGTGTGATGCTGTGTACCATGTGTTTGATGAGGAAAAAATGGAGTTATTTTTTCTGTTGCTACAGATGACATGTTAACCTTTACAAATGAATTTTAAAATTTTTCTTATGTTTAAAAAACAATTTCCTTTCCAGTTTGTTGTGGATCAAATAGTTAAACTGCAGCCACCTTCCTATGTATATTTCACCTGAAATTCATAGTTGTCTTTATGCTGGAGGGCCAGGATGACAAACCTGGTCCTGAGATAACCTAGGTGTTTTCTTTTTAAAACAAACAAAATACAAACAAACCAACCCCAATTGTATGTGTTTAACCATTTGGCTTGCTCAGACTTCTTTGTAAATACCAGTTTTTACCATTCATACTTGTTTAATCCAGCTGTTTTGATGGTACACATTTGCTCAAGTTTGGTTTTGATGTGTTATATGGTGGAGTTGGATACCGGGTCCAAGCTAAAAGGATCCCCATTCAGATGAGTGGATTTCCTTAGTGTTGCCCAAAATTGCTTGGAATGGTCTTGCATTGTGTTTTTTAGTTCTGGTAGTTTAGGTGCAAGGGGTCTTCTGTAAATAATCAGTAAACTGGAATTCTTTAAAATGGACTGTGGCAACAGAGTGTACCAACTCAAACCTCTTCATGTGGAAAGGTGATAGGTTGTTGGAGGATGTGAATGGCAAGTGTGTGGAGGAGTTGATGGGGGACTGTCTTGGTTCTAGCGGTAGAAGCCAATGTTCTCAGGTTGTTGGGATGCTGTGCCATGGATGTCCCCATAGAAACCCAAACTGGCCCGTTACCCCCCTTTCCCCCCAGCAATCCTCCACTGTCTGATTTCACTGTCATCTTGTCGTGCTTACAAATATGCAAGGTGTCCTTGCGCTTCAAGGAGTCTCTTGCTTGTGGGAACGCAACTGGTAGTCAGAATACACGTGGTGAGGGGATGCTTGGATCTCCTCCATTTGCTCTGTGATACACCCTCTCAATACTAGGATGTTGTATTTGAGATGTGGCTTGATTTCCAGTTCTACAGCTCTGCTATTATATGGCTTTAAGATTCATTTGTTGTGTTAAAGTCTGTTAATGAACATTAATGGGTTAAGAATGGGAATTTGAAATAACCCTTTTAATGGTGTCAGACTTGTTTTATAGTAGTGCCTCTGCATAACTGATGAAAATTGTGTAGCTGTTGGATTTTTATTGTTGGGAAAGACCACTAGGGAGGCGCTGTCGAGCTGGAGGGGGTTATTTGCAGTGTGGGGCTCTCGTGGGAGCATGTGATGCTCTTGTCCTGAGCTTTAGGTGCAAGTGTTAGGTGACGAATGGAGGAGCTATTGTCTGGGGATACTGCCACTGAATTGAAAAAAACTACCCCTTGGGTGGGGTGAGCCTCAAGGTGGGTTGTTGCTGGCTGCATGGCTGTTAGCTCCACTTCCATTCTTTCAAAATGGCTTGTAACAGCACCACTTCCTGTCCAGGGAGGAAGTAATTTTAGCCCAGGCACTGAAATATTTAGCAAATCTTTAAAACAAAAGGCACAAATTCCATTTCTTTCTGGTTTCAAAAGGGTGCCTGAGCCACATGGGGTTAAGTTGCCCCTTCAGCTGGGGTAGCTGGAAGGAGCCAGGGCTGTGGGGGTAGCAGGCACCCTTTAGGTGGAGGCTATCTCTTTTTTTGGTAGAAATGAAGGGGTGGGTCTATGGTACATCACCTGAGTTGTGGGGTAAATGTAGAGAGTGTCAATCAAAGGCAGAGCTCAGAGCTGGGAAGGAGCTCTAGATGGCGGCTGTGCCTTAGAGAGAGCGCGCTCAGCTCCGTGCCTTCCCCAACACTTTACGCAACTTTCCCTAACTTTCGGGCAGCCTCAGGGGGCCCCCACAGCCCCTTGCCTCTCCTAGGCACTAATCGGGGGCTGAGCGGACCTTTTTCGGGCAGAAAAGCAGCTTTTGAGGGCTCCCTTTTCGTGCCTTGCTGGAAAGAAGAAGCCGTGGAGAGAGCCCAGGTCGTTGTTTTTCCAGCTTAGAAGCCATGGCGTACCTCCATTTTTGTGCGCTCTCCTAATGAGCTTTTTCCCCCGGACATTTTTCTACTAATTATCGCTTCTTTTGCTTTATCGGCAACATATTTTTGAGATTAGAATATATATTTTTTTTCATTCTCTGAAATTCATATTTTATCATTATAACTATAAATATTTTGGATCTAATGTTTTTCCACTACCCGAAACTAATATCGACTTGGTCCTGGCGGCGGTGCATGGATCAGGTAGGTGAGCAATTATTATTAATAATTTTTAGATTTCTGCTGTTTTGAATACTTTGATTTTCGACCGATTTGAGCTGTATTGGGATGACGCAATAAGATACAGAGATTATTTGCATCCAGTGTTACTTTGGGAAAGTTTGCAGGATGCTCTTCCACTGTGTTTATTCTTGGATTTTTTCTTCTAAAAACGATTATTTGTTTTAAATCTCCGTTTTGCCGTGTTGATCAGTGTTGTGTATTGTTATAACAATATCATTGCAGTGTCAGGACTTTGTTCCTGATAATGAAAGCCAGTGAAACGAACTGGGACCTTACCTTTCTTTCAACTTTTGACAGTAAATACCTGGGCACAGGACTTCAAAGCAAACAGACACCCCTGACCCCCTCTTAATATTTAAGAATAAAAAGATGATGAGAAATAAGGACAAAAGCCAAGGAGAGGAGGGTTCAGTCCACAGCAATGCATCGAGGTATGATCTATCAACTTTCTTTTTTTTTTTTTTTTTAAACCTGTGAATACCCTGTTTACTTTGACAGCCTTGGGTTACTGTCAGTGCTTAATATAAAACATTTTACTGATTTTTGCTTCCTTTTTAAGGAATGACCTTGAGATTGTTAGCATGCCACACCCTAATTTTTTTTGGTAGCAATTTCTGAAAGTTGTGTTGTGACTTAAGGGCCCATGTCATAGTCAAAAGGTACTGTACCTTTATTCAGGGGAGCCCTTTTCTCTGTATTACGTTTTTCCAGCTTTTGAATTTCAGTTTTTAGGTTTTTTGTGCTGTGAAAAATGACCTTGTCGGTTTAGCCATTGCTGCATTGCACCATTTTACATACAAGGCAAATTTTTCTTTGAAGAATCTCAGAAGTCTAAACTTTAACTGAGGGCCATACAGAAGCCTGGTGTAGTAGTAAATTATAGTAAATAGACACAAGAAGAAGTTATATGAATGAAAAAAAGCTCATTTTAAAATATAAACTGGAAAGTGCCTGTTTGTATGATAACCCTTACTTCAAATTTTATTTGAGATTGTAGAACTTTGATACTGTTTAGGTATTTTAGAATATTTTGATACAATTTAACCAGACTTTCTCCTGCTGGTGATAGCATTTTGTATTATAAAATATACACTGGGACTGTTAACAAGAGCCTCCAAATGCTTTGCTTGTTTATTTAATGTATTTTTGCTCAGAGTGTTTTTATTTACTTTTGTTGGGTAATGAGATTCTTTACAGATTTTTATAAACTTAACCTTGATGTGGGAAAAGTATGAAATACTGGAAATGTTTCTTTGCTAGGAATGCAGAAGTATAATTACGGAATTGCTCATTTTGTATTTAAAGGGTCAGCTTTTTTGAAAATTGGGAATTAAACTATATGCATTTTTGTTTTTTAGCTTGTAAATGCACTTGAGTTTTTCATTTTGTTAACTTCAATTCAACTGTGGCCTGTTTATTTTTCTCTGGTGTTGTGTTCAGTAATTTTTAACCAACATTAATAAAAAAGAATTCTGAACTGTCTGTTGTATCACATGTGCTCTATGTGGTGTTTGAAGGTGTTTGAATAGTATTACAGATGTCCAGTATTTAACCTTCTATAAACACACAAACTTGAAATACTGTAAGAATATATATATTATCAAATTACTGTAACCTTCTAGCATAAACTTGGATGGTATTCTGGATGTATTAAAATTGCAGTCAAATTTTAAATATTAAAATGGATATGGGTAAGTTTGTTTAATTTGAAATTAGTATTAACTAAATTAGCCTCAGGGACTGTTGAAGCATTACATATAGCACCTATACAGAGCTTTTATAATAATGCAGTTTAAAAACTCATCAGACTTTCAAAGCGTGCTATCTTTATAGTGCTGTAAATACTGCACACAAAATATTGCTTAAAATTTGATTTTTTAAAAAAATTACTTCTGTTTCAGCTTATTTAAATCTTTATGCTTTTTTAAAGTGCAGATTATTAGCAAGAGCAATAATAATTTGTTCAAGAAATCTGAATTAAGATATTTTATTGGCATTAGAAATATTATGCTTAAATAGGAGACGAAACTGGAGACATCTAGCAGTAGTTACACAGAAAGACGACCTTTGGGTTTTTTGTCCTTAAGGGTATTATATTTGCATAGTCTCTCATGTGTGCTTTTGGTGTTTTCATTGAAAGGTTACTTATCATCATTGATCAATTTACATGTAACACCTGTTGTGTGAGGTTACCCTTCTCCTCCTTCACAATTTTTTCTCAAAATAAGCTTGCTGTGGGTAACATCCACTCACTTGAAGTGTGGGAACAATTGAGCACAGGATATTTGTAAGTGAGCCCTGTCGAGCTTATTTCTGAGCTGTGAGTCAGCTGAATGTCGTAAAATGGGCTTTACTTCCTGAGGTTGACTTGAAGTTGTAGGGGAAATGATTTCTAGGAAGTAAAGCCACCACTTTGCTTTACTGTAGCCCAGAAATGCACTGGTGTCTGTACTTCACATGCTGCTGGCCAGCTTTCTCCCCAGTTGTGAGACCAACTCAACATCCGTGGAAATACGTGAAGTCCTGATACATAATCCCCGGTGGGAGGCCTGGGTGATGGAGATGGGTGGAAAAAGTAGATATGGCCGGTGCCATCCACCTGGACTGGAGAAGCAAAAATGCAGGACTAGAGAAAGGTGTTAAAGCAGAAGAAAACACAATTCCTATGCACTGCCTTAGCGTACTAACTGGGGAATATGTTTGGGTTTGACTCCTACCTTTCCAGTCCTTAGAAAGCACAAAGGTATATGCTGAATAAACAAAAATACCTGAGAATTGTCCCAAAGCAGATTATTATTCTTGGGGAGGGAGATGGTATTAACTCTTCACAGTTTGTAAAGAGGGTGTGCTTGGTGCCTTTCTAGATGAATAGCAACACCTGTCCTTTCTATATTGACAGTAAATCTTTCCAAACCTGAAGCTGGCTGATATCATACAACTTTCTCCACCTAAGGATAAAAGTTGGAATGCTGCAATTGCTAATAACCACCACTGGTGTATCTGGGACTGGCATTAAATAATTGAACAAATTCCTGGTGTGTTTTCTAGCATCTTCTATCCTGCATTTCTGAAAGGCAGGTGGTGTGAGAGGGTACATCTGTGGTGCAACCCTAATGCGAACTTCAGAGGTGAGAGGCAGGCTGGGGTCCCCCTGAAGTCCGGGAGCGAGTTTTGTAGGGGATAGCAAGTAACACGTGGTGGATACCTTGTTCCTCTAGTTCCCCCCAGCCTGCATATGTTGCAAGTTGCTCTTGCACCTCCTAAATACCCCTGTGTGGGAATAGCTTCTGCTACAGGAGCTGCAGGGCTGAACAAACCCCTGCATCTGTATCCAGCTCTCGGCTTCTCTGGCACTAAAACATCAATT